CCCCATTAGTTCGTCTGTGACAAATACAGATTTTTTATGAAAATTATAGATTTTTGAGTGTCAAGATACAGGTTAGCAACCAAAGAGTTTGACATCTATGATTTTGTCAAAATGCTTCTTTTATGTAACACACAAATTTAATATAATTGCTTTAATTTTCTTGTTTTTATTAGATTTTTTTATGATTTTAACGTATTCCTGTGTATCTGTGAAATAGTTTAAATTTCCGTGTACAGATGGTGCAGGACAAGTAAACTTGCCTTGCCGATTGCATCGAGCCGTATTGTATCGTATTGTGTTGTCGTATCACGGCATATTGTTGCATTGTGTAAAATCAGACTGTTTTGTATTGTGTTAAATGTGGGGAGATAAAGTCTATTGTGATCCTACAATAAGAAAAACCCCCCACTAACAATAAATGCTCCATTTGTCCCAGCAAAAATAACCCACAAGGGTTTTCTGTCGTTCTGTTCATTCAAGTGAAATGTCTCCACTAACGTCTGAGGAGCCACCTTTCTGTGACAAACTCCCATTTCTCTTCATTGATTTTAAAAAGAATAAATACACAAAATGCGGTGAAAGCGTGCATTTTTTTCTATTAAAAATTAGAAAATTAAAAGCTCTGCTTTGGGCTTGCTCGGCTCATCTGAGCCATCCTCAAGCTCCTGTGGACATCCAGCTCAGAGGACAAAGCTGACGTCCCACTGCGCAGCCCGGCTTGTTTCGGGCCCCCTCCGCTGCGTGACCCCCTCAGACGATGAGCTCCCATTGTCAGAAACAGGCCAAAGTGAGGGAAACAACTACCGACAGTGTCACGGCGCTGCTGGCAGCACAGAGAGCTGACGTCAGAATGACAAACGCTCCTCCACGCTCATTTACCGCCCAATTTCATCAGCTTGGGGTACTGATGTCATTATACAAGCTAGACCTGCATCCATTACTCCGCCGGGGCAGGGAGGCCAACGTCAAGCTAGCCTGATAGGACGCGGCTACAATGGATGAGTAATGTGTCACATCATAGCAGCTGTAATTCAGAAAGTCATAAAACAGACAAAATGGKTTTTGTCTCGTGAGCGGCGCTGGATCTTTGAGTTATCGCCTCCGCATTTTTTTTTTTGCCTTCGTGCTTTCGCCTGTGAGCGCGCCACAAAGTATTTTTCGACGGCCTTCTTGCGAAATGCGAGTGCGTCGGTAAATAACATCGAATAACGTCGTGTTATCCTCGCAGTCCGTGGACAAAAGAAAGCATTGAAGCCCGGCTTTTCTGAGCACGTGAGAGTGAAGTGGAGATAAGAGACCGTACAACGCGTCACCGCTTCCCTACTCCATCCCAGTCGCACACACTTACACCTCACCCCATAACGAGACATAAAATGAAAAATAGGCAGAGGGTCGAAGGAGAGGTGAAAAGAGGGCTTTGCCATGGCAACCCCAGTGTCAGCCAGCCATTTCTTCTTAATCCCCCCCAGTTCAATGTCGCGCCCTCTGAAGGGCCCCCCCCGCCACCCCCCACCCTCTCCACAGCTGAATATTTCTTTTGTGCTGAGAGACTCTGCGTATATATATGTGTGTGTGTGGGAGGGAGGGGTCACAGAGGAGGGAGGAACTGGGAGTTAGAGGGGGGCAGATCATAGCTAACCCAGTTTAAACGGGGGGCCAAGCTGCAGGCCAAAGAGTCTCAACATTACACCGAGGTTAAAAACTACAGCTCTGATCTCACACACACACATATACAACCAGATACACATATATGTTGAAACACTGCATTAACGGGGGGATATAATGTTTTGAAATAGTAGATAATTATACCATATGGCAAACAGACGGACTTTTCCTCCCTAATCTTATCGCCCCAAMAAACCCTACACTTAGTCTCTCTCTCTCCCTTTCCTCTGAAACTCTCATGGTCTCTCGCCCGATCGGCCCACTCTACATTACTGACAAAAGCGGTTTTCAGGAGGAGTGGGTGGGGAGAGGCGTCAGCTGCTAGACAAAATAAAAAGGCCCCTATTTGTTCCTGACAATAAACGTCCCCATCTTTGGAGAACCTCCACAGCTGCAGCCAGATAGGCTTTCATTTCCTAACTGCGCGCTAATAGGGAGCACTGTCTCCTTTCCTGTACTGTAAGCAGATTTATTGTTGAGGAATAAAACACCAAGGGTGGTGGTGGTGGTGGTGGTGGTGGTAAGGGGGGTGACGAGTCTCTGTAGTCATCTTTCCGAGTCGCATGCTCCGCCAAGAAAGAGGACAAAAGAACGAGACATGCGGAGTGTTCAGCGATTGGGAGTGGATTTATTATTATTATTATTATTTTTTTTATTTTTATTATTTATTAAGGAAGGTATTTTAAAGTTTCTGACTGATGTTATTTTTTATTTTTTCTAACCCTAACCTAACCTGAACATGAAGCTAGCGAGAAGCAAAACACAAACACTCAAACCATCCCCCCCCATTAAAAAAAAAAAACAAATAGGAAAAAAAATCCCTCACCACCATTTTTGGGAATGTTACATTTAATGTCCAGTGAGTCCACCGGAAATCACCCCCACCCCCTCGAGGGTAGAGGAAGTGCCAACAGTGGTGTCTCTGGGGTGGTCTCATGTGGCCCGTGGGTGAGGCTTTAATGTATCTGTGYGTCCACTCCACTGTATACTGTACATTCATGTATAATTACTAACAGACCAGCCTGTAGGGCCTACACATGCATATGCTCCGTTTTAATGCCGTCCATCAGCCCAACCTGGATTGTTCATCATACGGACGAAGAATACAACTTTGAGGACCTCCAGTGTTATCCATGGACCCACATGGGAAGATCTTATTTTTTTTAAATGGGCATAAATCAGTTTGAAATATGGACAATAATTACARCTTGGCTGCAATGTGGTGGGGGTTTTCTGCCATATAAAACTTTGGAGCCTGGAAAACAGCTGGTTGGTTTATTATCTGTGCCATAGGCTCCAGAAATAGTTTAGAGCTGTGGTTCCCAAAGTTGGGCTGTGTAGCATCAAGTAAGGGTCCTTGGATGAGCTCAAAAAATCTAATTAAAGGTAATAAGAATATTGATAGCGTAATAGATTTCCATTTCCTATAATTATAACAATAGCRCATAAAATAACCATAAAATAATAAACATGCTGTAAAAGCTATTTGGATTGTCAATAAGCCCCTGTTCATTACAGTTATTGACAAAGTCCTATTTGGAGTCACAAGCCTCTACCATGAATAATTTGTAGGCCTGAAGGTGAAAAGTTTGGAAACCGCTGCTTTAGAGAATATACAGCCAAGTAAAGATGAACGTTTTCCAACTAAACTCTCAGTTTGCACGTTTTGCAGCTTCTTGATAATTTATGTTCTGTCGTTTCTCTCACAGGATTCAAAGAAAAAAGAAGAAAAAAAACCTCCCAGCACATTTAAAATACAGCTGCATGCACTACAACCAGTTCAAGAAGCATCAGCAGAGTATTTAAAGTCAGCCAGGTCGTTCTAGTCTTTTAGAGAGCAAAGGGCACATTGTAGCACAAGGTGCAGGCTCTGTTCAACAAGTGCAAAGGCATAAAGCAAAAAGGCACCGAGTTAGTGCCCTGCCACTGATTGGCAGGGTGGGGTCACCAGGTGACCCCTGACCTTTTTAACCTTWGGAATGTTGTCACGCTGGTGCGCGCATTGTTCCGGCCTCCCCAAGGCCAGCAGAGACGAGTGTCAAATGAATGTGGGCGATGAATGATCCTGAGGGTGCCCCCCCCACTCAAAAAATAAAAAAATCTCCCCTTTCTTTCCTTAATCCTTTCTTTTTCTGTTCATGATCCCTAAAATTTCTGCAAACAAAAGGCATCAACAAGTCTACGAGTGGKCCGCTGTTGATGGGCTGAAGTGGACCTCTCCGGATGCAAACAGACTGTCCTCGCCGACCAAAGCCAGCCGAGAGAGAGGATGTAAAACGAGTCGATGAAAAGCAGTAAGACTGGAAATGCTTCTCTGATCATCACTCATCATACAAACAACTGTTTCTGCTGGCTGACGGCCAAGATCTGAGCGATCCAAGGAAGGGAATGAAGCAGCATGAGGACTCACCAGCCAGGTATGCTCCTTTATTTTTTACCAACCTAGGGCTGGTCAGAGGAAATGGGGGGAGTTTATGATGTCATAAAAACGTGCCAGCAGAAAGGTGCTAGAGAACAGGTTGCCTCTGGAGCTGGAGCTATAAAAGACTCCTGCAGCTTCCACTACTCCCTGACCACCCCTGCACCCCCATACCCTGACATGATGACAGAAGAGCAAGCAGAGGTGTGCAGCTCAGACTGAAAACAGCATGGAAGCTCGGACAAAGATGTGTTGGTTAGCACCGTCACACAGTTTAATATTCATAGGACTAAACTCTAGAACAGTATTTAGCTTCCGGCCCACAAAATAACAGTTGCAGACACTCATGACCCCAGATATTCCCTGTTTTTGTTTGCAAACCTAGCTAATAACTCTGTTAAACATGGGAATAATGACAATATAAACAAACATAACACCTACAAAT